GAAGCTTCAATAGAGCCCTCCCCCTCTGACCCCTAAGCTGCTTGTTCCTCTGCTTGAAATAAATAAAGACCAACAGAAGTAGACTGCTGAATACAGAAAGACCTCTTTTTTGCTGCTTCAACTATGGAGGAATGGGTCAAATATCTCTTTGCTCCTGTTGGTTTACCTGGCAATAGAACAGAGCAGAGCCAACGTTTCTAGCCCTTCATCCTTGCTTAATTCAAAATATGTCCCCTGTTTAAAATTAGTTACCAGCCAGGGATCTATGGAATGATTTTCCTTGGCTCAGAGATTCAATAAAATCACTCACTAATCTAAAGTAAGTATCTAGCGCTGCATAGTTGTGCAGTGTTTTATTAGATGAAAAATTCCCAGCACTCAAACGGCAATATATCTCTACTGTGGAAATAAGGTTATTTCCCCTAACTAACAGGGCCATTAGCACTGTCCAAAATATGGTTGCACGAATGTCACAAGTATCTATGGAATAGCTGTTGCAGCAAGTTCAGGTTTGTCAGGCTGGCTCTCAAAAGGTTTATTGGCCTAAATTTGAATTAAAGCCAAATTGTCTCAGTGCTGAATCTGAACTGGACCTCCCCCACCAGCATAATTGTTTTATTTCCTGACCTGTAGGACACAATATAGACTAATGGCTGCTTGGGGAACAAGTTACAGAATGAGAGGCATCAGAGGCATTCCATCTAATACCTGCGTATGCACAGTTTAGATATGTCCAGGATAAGGGGCCACTGACAGTGTTTTGCTGTAGCTCTCAAATAACCCCTTGACAGTCGAGGTAAGGATTAAAGAGGAGGAGGGTGGGTAGGCCTCAGAATGCGGGGCTGTTTGGAGGGATTATGTCACCCCTACATCCCTTTAAGTGAGCTGGCTTTTCTAACTTTCCTCCAGCAAGTAGGGCTCTCTATCGCTATCTCACCCAGGCCAGATGCCTCCTCTCTTCTCTTTTATCCCCTCCTCACTCCCTCTCCGCCCCTTCTCAGTGGGCCCCACCTAAAGCCACGGACACTGAAGCTGCCCCTTCCGTTCCTGCCCTCCTGGTGCCTGTTGGGCCTGCCGGTCACGCCTCGTGGTGCGCGTGCCCCAGCCGCTGCCCAGCTGGGCCAGGGCCTCGTGCACCCAGAGGCACCTGTGCCATGCCTGGGGAGGGCAGCCCACTGGGCTTGTTGCTGGGCTTGTGTGCATACATCCCTCCATTCTCTTGTGGAGAGCATGAGGCGTTATCACCCAACACATATATGCTGGGATTCTAAATCTGCAATAAACTCTGGTTTAGAAACTAGATTTAGGGAGGTGGCTAAATCTGGTTAAGCCATGCACCTGCACTCGTATATCATGGAAGGATACGGTCTGTGCATGGGTGAACACATGATGTTGATTTATAGTAAATCAGATTATTGGTCATCAGTGTCTTATTGTCTACCCAGACTGGTAACAACTCTCTAGAGTCTCAGGTGGAGCTCTTTCACATAACCTACTACCTGACTGCTTTAACTGGAGATGCCAGGGAATGAACCTGTGATATCCTGCAAGCCCAGCAAATGCTCTGTCCCTGAGCCATAGCCCTTGGGTTGTGCGGGAGGGGAAGGTACACATGTGAGCCCAGCATCAAGGTGGGTCCATGTACATTCCGGCTTGATGTGATATCTGTGCAGTCTAAGTCTGCACACTTTTGCAGAATTATAGACTGAAAGGTGTCCTTTAGGTAGACAAAAGATCTATACGGTACCAAACATTCAAGCTACATCCTAGAAAAGGGGCTAGTTAACCCTGTATTTTGTTGAAAACAAATCAAACTAGCCCATGGAAACTGACAGGGCAATCCTGTGCAGAGTCTAAGCCCGCAGATCTCAGTTAACTGGAGTAGCTCTTCATAGGATTGTGATGTTACAGATCTACTTATGTGAAAGGCAAAATGAACTAAAATTGTTTATCAAGTGAATAGATTACTGTCTCGCTCTAATAGGAATAGCATCTCAGAAGGGATGAGTCCTGCTATTCAATAAAGGAAAAAGATCTTAACTTCTTGTCTCTTCTGGAGGGGCTCAGCCCAGCTGCTCAGTTCATTTCCTGCCTTAAAAGGAGCACAAGCTTTAGTTAACTAGCTTCATGCTTTCACTTATCCCTTTGCCCTCTGTTTTAGTTCAGTTTCCAGTCTTCTCTCTTTACCTGTCTTCCCTGACTTCCAGGAGTCCATCAACACCTATCATTTATGAAGCTACATGTATACTCACTACTATAGGAGAAAAAAATTAGATCCAGTTACTCCCTTGATCCAACAGGTCTTTAGCTTTTACACGCAGGTTTGGAGCAGAAGCTAAGGACCCATCTGCTTCGTAGATAATTGGCTGCATTGGCAGTTAGCTGTTTTTCTCCATCAGGCAGATGGTCTTCCTTTGATGAGACATCCACACATAACCCACTTCCTCAGGCCAAACTACACACTTGTGTTTGCAGCCCCAGCACCAAGAGGAGGGGTGAGGCGGGCATCCCAGCTAGAGTCCCTCCATCATCCCCAACTAACTACTAACCCTGTATACAGTTTGCTTTAAATAATACATGCTTACACATAGATTCCAGAAAAGTGGGAAAATAGGCCACTACTTTATTGATTACAGCTGTAGTATGCTTTGGCACAGCATGGGTGCCGGATCCCGTCCCTCGACTGGCCTCCTGCCAGTCGATAATTTGCTGTCCACCTGGGGATGACAGGTCTCTGAATACCACAAGGCGGACACTCCAAGGCGGTCTCCCCTGCCACCTGGGCATGAGGGTAATCCCTGGCCATGCCTCCGGGCTGGGCCCCTCGCGCCAAAATCCCATAAGGGGATCCCCAGTCTCAGGAAATGGGCACGCAGGCCAGCTTTCCTGATAATGGATCCGACCCCATTACCACCAAGCTGTGACAGAATAAAATAATGTGGGGGGGGGAAACGCATGCAACCCCCCTCCCCTTAACTGCACCTAATTAAAGGGATGGGAGGGTGGGCCAAGTCATCCGAAGCCAAGGAATGTCGGGCGGGATGGCACAGCCCCCTAAATACTGGCCGGGTGCTCCCGCCCCACCCAGATGCCCAGAACTCTGCTGATAGGGCCAGCAATGGTCAGGCAAGCCCCAGTTTCCCACATCTGGTGCTGGCCCGCCCCCTCCAGCAATCCCGCCCGCCATGGATACTGGCTCTCTTCCCCCCCTCGCAGTTCTGCAAACAGACCCCTGGGTGACTCAGGGGCCTGGCTTTCAAAGAGTTGCATCCAGAGAGAAAGGAGAGAAATAAAAAATAAAGGAGAGTCCAAATGGACTCCTAATACCACTGTAGCATTTTCCCCATTCAGAAATAACATGGGGGGGGGCTTACTTCCCTGTTTTTGTTACTCCATGTGCACAGAATACTCCATGTGTTGCAGCAAAAATAGGAAAATACCCCCACGGTGCTGTTTCAGTGTGGTAAAATGGTTGGGAGGGAGGGCAGGAGCCTTTCCTCCCACTGTAGCAGTGTTCTGAGCCTGTTTGAGCTCCTTTATTTTTTAAAAGCCATTCCTCATAGCTGCTATGAAGGTGTAGTTTGGCCCTCAGAAGAGTATCTCCTCTCAAGTCCCCCAGTAATTCACATTTCCATCATGCTTATTCCACATAATACTATCAAGCCGTTGGAGGTCTCCTGATTCCTGATTCTCAATGTGTGTTTTTTCTGAAAACAGTAACTTCCGTGAGTAGGGCATAGAGGTATTTTTAGCCAGGAGGGGACTTTGCATAAGGGGAATCATTCTGAGAACAGACTCAACCCAAGGTTAATTCTCACTTCCATCGATTGCAGGAAGTCAGTCCCCCCCTCTCCTGATCATACTAGGGGCAAATCTTGACATACTCTTGATCTCCCTAGGGCACAAAGGATCTACACCAAGAGAATAGAATCCATTAGGAGATCCAGCTACTAGTTCATTTTCTTTCATCCACCAATGCTGAACTATGATCTCACTGTTGCTTCTGTTGACCTTATATATGTTCTGTTTTCTCCTGCTTACTTGATTAAAATTGTAATCTAAACAGCTTTGGAAGATTTTGAACTGAGGAACTGTGACACCCACACACACACACACACCAGAGAGGCAGGAAGTGAAAGTTAATATCTGCCTCTTTGACCAAATGGTATGAGTAACACATCACTCTCTATACTTCATAGGAGAATGAACTCCCATAGATAAGTTATTTTTGGAAGTCCTATCTTTATAGTGCACGCTTTCTGCTACAGAACCCTGCCTCGGACCTACCAATACTGGTGATATGGAAGCCATGAGAGAGTACTAAATATGTGCCATTTATTCCTTGGATACTTTTTTGGGGGTAATGGGAATTATTTCAATATCTATGATTTTTTTTTAAACCCTCTTAAGAATAAACTATAGGTTGGGACTTTAAGAGCAAACAAATATCGATAGTTTTGGTGGTAATTAGATTTGTTCTGGTAGTATTTACCTCCATCAAAAAAAACAGGTTTAATAACTTGTGATTTGAACAAGAGAAATCAATGCTGTGTGTTTATTGGAGATAAAAATAGAATTATTAAAAAACAAGATTCATAGTATTTGTCTTTTAATTCTTCTTTCATAACAGAAAATAACTGAGATTAAAAAATAACTATGTCATGTTACTGCAGAAAACTAGAAAAGAAACTTCAAAATACTTTGAAAATTAACTGCAAGTTCCAGGGCACAAAAATAATGCTTAGGAAAGGACAAGCCAAGGATATTTGTTTGAGCACTACTGCATTGAAATGAAAACTTTTTTTTCTTATCGCTGTGATGTTACATTTTACATCTAGGAACACATTTATCACAAGGTCAACAGCTCAATAAGAAATGTTTCCTGCTTAATGTATCCGGCTACGTTGCAAGAGCAAGTGATATATCCTCATGCTAACTGCTCTTTGTGTGCAAGGTAGACTTCAAATTGGTTCAACTTTTTTCTTTTCAATACAATGCAGATCAGTCCTCTGAGACCACAAAGACCAAAGAGCCAAGTGATTAATGTCATGGGAAGTGAAAAACGTCTTTCTGTTTCACCATCACCACCTTCTCAGCCTATCCCTCCACCAATCACTCCAAGGGCCAAGCTTTCTTTCAGTCTGCAGTCCAGTAAGTCTCTTTATAAAACTGTGATTTCTGATATCGTGCCCAACCAAATTATAGTCACTGTGTGATATGTCCAATGCCTTGTGCCCAGCTGAGTAATTAGCTCAGCAAGAGACTTTTTTCAGGGTGTGTCCTTCTGAGTAAAAAGTTTGGTCCATTGGAACAAGACCTCCTTACTTAGAAAATGAAGTGAAGGATCCAACTTGTTTTGTATAGTGATTCCTATAGCATCTATTGTATGGCATTTTATACTAGACAGCTAAGCAGAAGTCTTCACAAAAAGTCTGCTGAATGAAATAATTTCACAACACCTTAAGTAAAATAATTAGTGTATGCAATCTCTTTTTTTTAAGTAGATTGTTACTGCCTTAAAGTTGCAGACTAATACAGAATAAGATTATGAGCCCCAACAAATGTGCATAAATAGTGGCAGTAAACAGACTTACAGATAAATTAGTGATTGATATTAGGGGTATTGTAACAGGGTGTGATGGATAGCACAGAAAAGCAGGTTTTTTAGGATGCTGCTTGGTACAGGGAGTCAGGGAGGTTAGGAGTTAATCTTCCCTAGCATATCATATCAATCATATCATATCATCTATATATCTAATAGAGCTTTGTGGCCCCTATCTGCGGATAGCTAAATCCACGGATTAGGGCCACCTAACGCTAAACAAGTTTTCCTGCAAACTTGGGCAGACACCCCAGATTTGCATACATGGGGGGGGTTTACATTCCCCCCAAAACATGTAGAGCTGGTGGCAGGGGATGTAGCTGTGGTGGCAGATGCCAAGAGGCTCGCCAGTCATTTGCAGTAGATTAGGGTCCTTCTCCAGGGAACCATTCCATAATGTAGTCCCATAATCAATATAAGCTTTTTGCTTCTTTAGGTTGTATCTTCTTGAGATCTTAACATATCATCTGACTGCATGAATCTATTAATTCTTTCCTATTCTTACTACGAGGCAGAAAATAAGAACAGATCAGTTGGCAGGTGACAGTGAACTATCCATTTTTAAATGTTAATTGTACTTGTGGAGGCTCAGAACACTTTTTCATAGCCTAGGTAATCTTGCTATGATTCTGTTTAAAAAAAACCAAACAAACAAGTGCAGAATGTGGTAGGTTCCTAGTGTAACAAGCATTTCTTCACAAAATAGTTTGTGACAAATTCAATCCCGAACCTGGCAGAATTTTTGACTTTTTAAAATTAAAAATAGCTTATAGGCATTCTTTTTTAAAAGAAGCAGTATAATTTATGTTTATGGCTATCCAGACAGGGTGGGTGGACATCTAAAAATAGCAGCCCTACAACAGGGTGTGTTTTGAACCATACTGAGACATCATCTTATTTTGCACTAAGTTTAGAAAAATATTATTTTATGTTTTTCTCCCTAAATAGCTTATTTATTCAAACAACTAGTGGCTTTTAATTTAATATAATTATGGTAATTTTCAAACTTTTCATTAACGATATGTGGCTAATTATAAAATTCATTTCTGCATTGAATTACTGAAAGGCTTTATGCAGAAGAGTAAATAAAGTTGTGTTCCATTATATTGTGATATATCTTAGAAAATAAACTTTTAACATCATTGGATTTTCAGTATTGACTAAGGAGGAATGAGCTACAAGATTTGGAATGAGCTGTGAATATTAAGTAGACACATATCACAAAAGGAACAATCTGGCACAACTTTCTTATTAGGAATGCTTGGGGACAGGAGAGATTGCTGATGGCAAGCATTACTTTTAATGCTGCAAGTTAAATATCTCAATACAGGGATTTCTTTCTGATACGTAGATCTCCCCAGTCTCCTTGAACACCATTTAGGAATAATGGAGGGGAATCAGCTGTTTCCCCTTCCCCACACACAAACGCAGGGTCTCTTTGACCACATGTGAACATTGCTCAGGGGCACCTCCATTTCTTCTGATACGCTGCTCTTGTTTGCCATTTATTGTTGAATGTAGTATCCAAGATATGATATTTAAAATTTGTTGTGAATTGTTGTGCATGCATACACCCAGGCTAAAAATGTACCACTGTCAACATGCACATTTCAAAATAAATGCCTCATTTGAAATAATGGCATTTGAGAAAGTACTACTTAATGGAAACAAAGAAATATCTGTCACCACTGGTCCATTGTTGATTTGCTGTAACACAGTGATTCTAGGTTCGACCCAACAGAACAGGTTGTGAAAAGGGTTGGTGAAGGGAATCTTCCCTGCCTTGCCCTCCCCTAGCAGCCCTGAAAAATTATCTAGTGACTATTGCTAGATCCTCATCAACAAAATGCTCCACCACGCTTGGCCTCTTTTCCTCTCTTCCACTGGTGGAGAGTTTGGTCCACTGTTGATCTTGGTCTACCAAGGAAGAGGCATTCCATTCTGTTCCATTCGCCATCCTCACTGGTGCTATTTGTTGTTGGTGTATTTTGTTTATGAGTCCCCTGATCCCCTGCAAAAGATTTTTGAACATGCATATAGCCAAGGAAAAGTAAAGTAGAAAAGATCCACTCCTTGATCTCCTTTATCCATCTTTTCCAACTCTCTCACTGTTTTGAGTCCATTAGATGTTACTTGATAAGACCCTTTATTTTTCAGGCAGCAAATTACTGTTGTTGGGTCACTAGATGCAACTGTATGTTCTTTTAATTAATATTAGAACATGAAAATTGCTATGAATTTGAAGATTGGCTTAAATGGCCCATTTGTTATAAAAGTTGTATTTGTTTGCAGGTCTAGAACTAAATGGCATGAATAGTTTGGAAATGACAGACATTCCTCCTCCGTTGCCTGTGAAAGGTAGTGTGGCAGATTATGGGTGTCTCACGGACAGCCAGGAATCCGTTAGCCCTGCCACATCTCCACCTGTACCACAGAGGGTAAGTTTTGCATCTAAATGGGAAAGTACCTTATTCTTTTAATAATATATAATGTGTATTGCTTTATTCAGCTATTGCTTTTGCAGAAAGTCCAAAGAGAAAATGGATAGAGACGTGCCAGAGGCCAACATCTACTGGTCCAAGTACCATTTCTGCCATATCATTCCTTCCATTTTGTCCTTTGGTCTAGCAAACAGGAAGTCAGTTGGTACTCCTCAGGCCTGGTGTCTCTGATTGCTGATCTCTTGTACTGTTACATGACAGAATTTTTCTTAGCACATGAAGGAATGGTGAACTTGTTCTAAATGACTTGTATGTGGACACAGATTCATTGTGTAGTGAAAGCTATATATAAAGCAAAGTATTGTTAGACAGGCTGATGGAGGCTGTTAAAAAGACAGAGGAGAGTCCCAGCAGCAACTTAGATTTTATGTTTTTCCAATCTTATTTCAGCAGAGGAAATAAAGTACATTTCAGACAACTCTAATGTATGAGTTTTGTTTCACAGGCATTCTCTCACAGTTTCCTGTGAGGCAAGCAATCCTGCTACTCTGCATAACAGAGCACTGAAATGTTTGAGCAAAATTTGGCTACTGATGCCTTAGAAAGTGTTGCTTATGTTCTTAGGTTATCTGTTTCTGACATGGTATTAAGCAATTCATACCATTAGAAGTTTAGACTTATGAAAGGAAGTAGAAATCTTTTGTTGTTGTGTGAATGTTGTTAGGTCTTGAAGAAAATAAAAAGACAGACATTGGAGACACTAAATACTGATATGCTGATAAACTTGAAGAGCAAAGATTAATTCCTACAGCAGACTGAGGTAGTGGGACTGCTGAGCTGAAACTCAGTGTCCCATTCAGAACTCTTCCGTTTCCCTTAATGATGACTTTCCCCTTTCATTTTACATATTTACAGCCAGTAAGCTGAGTTAGTGTGAGCTAGCTCACAGTTTTTTAGCCTCCGGCTCACACATGTTTGTCTTAGCTCAGGAAGGATGGCTCCAGAGCAAACTAATTCATGCAGTAGCCAAATCGCTCGCTCACAACTTTAATGCCAGTAGCTCAGAAATTAGAATTTTTGCTCACAAGACACCACAGCTTAGAGGGAGCATTGTTTACAGCATAACCAATTTAGCCAATTAACTAGTCTAAACTTTATTTTGTGGGAGGATTCAGGAGTTGTAAAACTAATGAGGTCAAATTGACGCAAAAGAACCTTTTTACAGATCAGCAGGTTCCTCTAAATTATTCATCTAGCTAAAACTTTAGGGTTGGATCCAGCCAGTTTTTCTGCTGGTGAAGAGCTCTCTTTGACCACAACAAAAAAAGAGGCCATGTTCGAGATCATGAGAGATGCATGTACAAAAGCCATGTGGAACAGGTTTCCCTATTATACTTATGATAATATGCAGGACTGGATAGATCTCTTGTCAGAATGCAACCTCATGGTGCTGTCAGACTTACAATTAAACATAATGGAAAGGAGTACTTTCACAAAACTGTGGCAGAAAAAAATGGCCATACCCTTTTAAGGTATAACTAGTCTATTTCCAAGCACAGTTCAAAGTGCTGGTTCTTAAACGAAGGCCCTAAAGTGCTTGGGACTGAGGTGATGGAAGGACTGCCTCCTTCCATACTGTCTAGCATGCCAGTTAAGATCCTTTCCCCAAGTCCTGTTCTCCTGCAGAGGTTTAGTGGGTGGCAGCCAGAGACACGGCTTTTTCAGTGGTGGTCCCTTGCCTTTATAATGCCCTTCTCCTTTAAAGGACACCCAGAACCTATTTTCCTGACCTTTAGGAACCAGACAAAAACATTACTGAGGAGTTCCATCTCTTTTTAAACCTGTGTTTATGGTCTACTTCTAAACTGAGGACTGTTTCATGGATAAAGTTTTAGGCTGCAGTGCTGGATATGGTTTAGTGCTGTTTTTACGTCCCAGTTTTATCTACATTGTTTATTTATAATGGCTTGTAATACCGATTAGTTCATAAATTATATTTATTATGTCTTTTATAGGTTTTTTATTTTTTTGTAATGTTGTTGAGAGGGTAAAAGGGATGAGGGGGAAACCATATATGCCGCCTTGAGTTCTTTGGAGAAAGAGTGGGATAGAAACATGACAAATAAAGTATTGGGATTGCAATTGCACATTGCAGTTGCCTCTTATTGTGTACGAGTTTTATTGATTCAAAAGTGGGGGAAAATAATCTTGTCTTGATAAGTTCCTCACAATTAATTGTGATATATGTGCATACATACTCAGTTTATATAAAGTTGAATAGCAAACTTTGTTTGGTGAAAGGTTTTCTTAATAGAGTATCTGAACGCAAAATAGGATATTAGGTTTCTTGCAAGATCAATTACATGAAGGAATTCCACAAGGCTTTCTCTGCTCTTTTACAGGCTCATACATATCATTGCATACAAAATCAGCTGCATGCTTAGCATACAAAATCAAAAAGAGAAACTAAAGAAAACAGACAATGGAGAATTTAAATTTATACTATTGGCTCTAACACTTACTAAGCACACAAATAATGGCTTGATTTCCATCATTTCAGCAGTAGATACAATGCTTGATGATGAATGTTTCATAGAGGAAGCAATGCATAATAAGTGAACTAATGCTGGCAAGAATAGCATATGATAGCTTCCCATATTTTTACCCCCATTCTAATGCTTTACTGAAACTGAATCAGTGTGTAAAAGAATTTTGCTCATAGCTAGCTTTAGAGGATTTGCATCTATGTACAATACTCTAGTAGAAGCTGTTACATGTACCCATGCATTGCCCACTCATTTGGTATTCCATGAATACATCCCCAGATTCACACAAAATCATATCGAAAGCTTTGTATACTATGAAGAATTCAAAATTTTATTGCTACGTTTTCTTGATGTATACGTTTGTCTTCTTCTGATCTCTCAAGAGGCAGTGAGGCAATATTAATCAGCATATGAATACGCTCAGGAAAAAGATATAGAGGGTGGTACAACCTAATCAGAGATGCAGTGTCGTTTGGCAACAAAAGTCTCCTTTTCACTATATAGAATATACATCCACTGGAGGATAAGAGAGGTGGTTACCCTCTGTAGCTTTCTGTACCTTTTCTATGAGAAAAGAAATTTGATGAAGAGAACATGTGTGACTCAACACCTTTGGCTGATGTCATATGGCAGAAATCCAAAGACAGACATGAAAACATCTCATTAAACTCATTCCTTGCTGCAGCTTTGGAGGTCTGGGACAGAAGACGACAGCTGCTGATACCCAACAATTCCAGGTTATCCTCGTTTCTTAATCAAGAATGGTTTATTCCAGGAAAAGATGCAAAAGCCTTTCAAAGTTGGAAACAAGCTGGTCTAACTCGTTTGATAGCTCTCAAGGAAAAAGGTATTCCACATACAAAAGCAGAGATAGAAGAAAAAATTGGAGAACAAATTCCCTGGTTCCGATACTTACAGGTCCAACATTTACTAAGAGAAA